GTCTTGTATACCGATTGCGCAGGTCACTCCATGGTTTGAAACAGTCTCCTCGAGCTTAGTTTGGTAAGTTGAGCCCAGTTATTCAGGAGTTTGGCATGACTCGTAGTGAAGCTGATCACTCTGTGTTTTATCGGCATTCTGCTCATAATCTGTGTATTTATCTAGTGGTTTATGTTGATGATATTGTTATTATTGGCAACGATCAGGATGGTATTACTAATCTGAAGCAGCGTCTCTTTCAACACTTCCAGATTAAGGATCTGGGTAGATTAAAGTATTTTTTAAGTATTGAGGTTGCTTAGTCTAGCTCAGGTATTGCTATTTCACAGCGGAAATATGCCTTAGACATTATTGAGGAGACAGGAATGATAGGTTGCACAATTGTTGACACTCCTATGGATCTAAATGCTAAGCTTCTGCTAGGACAGGGGGAGCCTCTTAGCGATCTTGGAGATATAGGCGGTAGCTTGGAAAACTGAATTACCTCATAATGACTAGACCTGACATTTCTTTTCCTGTGAGTATTGCAAGTCAGTTTATGGATTCTCCCTATAATAGTTACTATGGTGCAATTGTTCGCATTCTTTGGTATATAAAGTCAGCTACAGGCAAAGGATTACTATTCGAGGATCGAGGCGACGTTCTAGTCTGGATATTATGTTCTAGTAAGAGATAATTTTGTCTCTTGAAAAAATAAGAAACAGAATGTAGTTGCTCGATCTAGCGCAAAAGTAGAATATCGAGTCATGGCAAAATGTGAGCTAGTTTGGATCAAGCAGTTGCTTAAGGAATTGAAGTTCGGAGAAATTAGCCAGATAGAACTGGTGTGTGATAATCAAGTTGCTCTTCATATTGCGTCAAATCCGGTATTCCATGAGAGGATTGAGAAAAGATACTCCCAGTAGATATTGTACAAAGTTTGTGAAGTCGAATGATCATCTTGCAGATATTTTCACCAAGTCCCTTACTGGTTCTCGTATTAGTTACATCTGTAGCAAGCTCGGTACATATGATTTATATGACCGACTTGAGTGGGAGTGCTAGATAGTTAATAATGTATAATGTCCCACATTGGGAAATAAATATCTATTATTATGTAATCTATATAAAAAGGATATTGTAAAACACTTTAGACATAATTAATGAAACTTTTATGCGCTATACTTCTCACAATTCCTCTCCCAGTTAATGTTTGGTTCCTTATTTTTCTCATTTACCTTTTTCTCTTCTTCATTTAGAGATATATCTTTTGGGAAACGACCATTATTAAAAAATGGACATTATGTCTAATTTAACCCCAAAAGTTAGCTCATTGGATGAAGATTGTCCAACACCATATGAGGCGACAACAACTCATATCCAAAAATAATGTGGGATTCTAACTCCCTTCACACGTCCAAAACTAAACATTTGGAGGATGGACAACATAACATGAGGGCCATAAAATTGGGTAAACCAAGAATAGAGATGGGTTTGGCTCTAAAAAAACATGTTAAGAAATGGATCTTAGGCCTAACTTAACCACAAAACTAGCTCATGAAGTAAGGATTGTCAAATCCATATAAGGAGACAATAATCCATATCCTCAACCATTGTGGTACTCGAACACACAAAGCAGCATATTTTTATTTTTTCAGCCCTACCTTTTTTTTTCTCTCTTTTAAATTGCATAAGGGTAGTATAACTACTTTTAGCTTCTCTAAGTTGTTCAAACATATCTTTGAGGCTATTGTTTAGTCAATGATGAACTAAGCTCTTACCTTGATTTCCCAAGAACTTATTAATATTCCTGACTGAGAACATATCTTCGGTATACTGGATAAACTACAGAAATATTTTCTTGAGTGTGAATTTTCTATGAATACCCTGAATAGTGAAGAGTATAGACAACCCCAACTACTGGGATTAAAGTATAGTTGACTGACATGAATTTTGTTATGCTAAAAGGATACAGAGAATAAGAAGGAAAATGAAAGAGAGCCTTGTACCCGTCGTAGCCATTTGGTAAATCATATCCTGCTGTTTTGCCTGCCTCACCAAATGCATCCCTCCAAGATTGCACCTTCTCCAAATCATCTCTAAAATTTTCCTCATGTCTAGCAAATGATTCAGCAAAAGTTCCACTTTGCTTACTCACATCCGATGGATCTACGTCATAGAATATGGGTATCACAGTTTGTCCTAATTCTTTCTTGCATTTCATGATCTTTACAAGTTCATCCAAGCACCAAGTGGAGGATGCATAGTTCTTAGAAAATACAACAATAGCAAATCTTGATTGTTCAATAGCTTTCACAAGTTCAGGTGAAATGGACTTTCCTCTCTCTAACCTTACATCATCTTTGAAAGTGTGAACCCCTTTGTGTTTTAGAGCATAGTAGAGATGACCCACAAAAGTTTTACGAGTATCTTTACCTCTAAAACTCAAGAAAACATCATTCTTCCAATTTTGAGTGGGTGAAGAAGTAGAAGCCATTGTAGATGAATGTGAAAGAAGTTTGCAGATGTAGGAAAGTTGTGTTCAGTTGCAATTTAAGGCACTATCTTCTTTATTACTGTCATAAGTCTTTGGTTGACTTATCACACGGTTTAACAAAGACTTGCTCACCATTCCAGTAATTCTTTAATTGACGAAAATGTATCTGCTCCTTCCTTTATGTATACTTTATTCGTTGTCAGTTCTTGGTAAATTCTACCAAAGTAACTTGAAACCACATTGTTCACATCTGTCAATGACAATATTCAATTCAATCCATCACACAAATTTTTCCTCCCGTACAAATTTGATTGGACACAAAATTTTAAAAAGAATTAAACACTTTTAAAACTGATGGTCTAAAATAATTCATACGCATTTGTGTGGCCCTGTATATCTCGTAAAATAAGAACTTCAAAATAAAATTATCTTTAAATATAGAAAGTGTGCATTGAAACAAAATGAGAAATATAAAACAAGGGGAAAGTACAGAGTTTGCGTCTAATTTTGTTCTGAAACTGACTTTAAGAGCGTGGTCTCGCAATTTAAGTTATATACACGGTAATGATTTCAATTACGTTATAGCAAATTACTTATCATTTATTCTAATTACTGCTATTAAATAGACTATCTTCAATTACCTGATTGTGTAAATACTCGGTGCATAGAACCTAATTTCTTTTTTAACTTCTTGTAGACCATTCAAGCTGAAGATAGTGAAGTTGGTGAAGCCCACCGGAGACTCGACGGAATTTCGCCGGAGAAGTGATTGTAAGAGAGATTGAGCTCAAACAGGTTCGAGATGTTTCTCTGTACGCCGCCGTAGAACAAATTTGCCGGTGATTTGTCCATATAGCTGGATGCCGGAACCATAAAAGATTTGTCAAGTTCGAGATTTCCGGCTGAATTTAGCCGGAAAATCCACCTTTCTTTCAATCTCATTTCTTTCTTAAGGTTTCACTCTGTCAATTATCAAATTCCAACCAAATAAACTCTGAATCGATAATTTAGGATTTGAAATTTGGAACATTTGTTCCATTATATTAGTGAAATTATTTACCGGTAGGTAATTTTGATCCCTGAATTATATGCGTTATTTTTGTTCCATTATATTAGTGAAATTATTTACCGGTAGGTAATTTTGATCCCTGAATTATATGCGTTATTTTTGTTCCATTATATTAGTGAAATTATTTACCAGTAGGTAATTTTGATTCCTGAATTATATGCGTTATTTTATTTTTTGTGCTTCTGTTATTTATCGTATGACACTTAACCTTAAATTAAATTAAATTAAATTTTTTAACCCGGATAATAGATACTATTATGTCACAGTTATAACAATTAACAAGTAACAATACTTCTTTTGTGAGGTTTGAAAGAGAGATTAAGCATAATATTTGGCATGTAAGTCTTCTTTGTCTCTTTTTTATAGAGTTAGAGACGATAAAAGAGATATTAAAAAAAAAATCTTTATAAACATAAAACCAGTGAGACGTTTAAATATATCTTATGATGTTTGAAAGAACACATAACCTTTACTCTTTAGAGATGAAAAAGGAGTCTTTTAAATAATTTTCTCCACTTACCACAGATGACGAAAGGACCGAATATTCCCTATCGAATTTCTTTATTGCCCTGCAAATGGTGTTCTTTTTAATGGTTAGCAAAATAGTAAGATCGACTCTTATTGCCCATTTGGTCAAACTTTTGAAATCGTTTTATTTTAAGAAAACTTTTTTGTAAAAAGACATTTTTAGAGAAGTGTTTTAGATAGGTACGTAATAATTAGTGTTTGACTGAATCATTTGAGATGTGTTTCTTTATCAGTTTTAGAAACAGTTCTAGTTGACCAATTATCCAAAAAAGTACATTTTAGAGTCAATTACAGAAACATGATACGTAAACTCAGTTTCATATAAGCATTATTTAAATAAATAAATGCTTTTAAATACCTATTATGAAAGACTTTTATTATGTTTTCCAATTTTCTTTCAATAAAGAGTACTATTAAAAGTAAGAGTGCACCATTAGCCACTTTTAAGCATGTGTAAAATATATTTACAATTTTCAATGTATTCACAGATGAAGCAAGTCACCCAAACTTCAAGATTAAATATCTTGAATTTTTGAATTGCTAGTTTGGAATTCACAACTTAGTATCTAAAATATCTGAGCTCTAATTAGAAATTCAAGATCAAGTCTCCTGAATTTCTGAACTGTTAATTTAAACACAAAACTTATACTCAACTCCCTTTCTCATCTCTTAAGATCCATGCTTTTCCCTCTTTATCACATACCTCGATCGCAGAATTAAATCAGCAGACACTAGAAAAGTCATCCCGGATCCCTAATGAGGCCAAATGTAGATAGCAAACAATTCAACTGTAAAACAAAGGATTAGAACTTGACCAAGAAAAAATTCTTGACCAAGTGGTTGACCCAATTTTCCAGCAGTCAGTCCCTCTGGGTTAACGTACGCAAAAGAAGCATACACAGCACACATTGTTCCCCACTCGCGAAGCTCAAGCAAAACATACTACAATTCCATATCAATAACAGTAACTAGGTTATGATTAAAAGAACAGCAAACAAGATAAAAGCAACGAAGTCATGAGAAAGCAGCACATTAAAGATCTAACTACAAGCCTCAAAAACCAAGAGACGCCGAATGGCAAAAACACCTATCTAGTATTTTCACAAACCCAGATAAAAACAGATAACAGCCAAAAAGAGAATACCCCCTAATAGTAAATACTGCAAAGCTCATGGACCTGATCTACGCAATTCTTCTGCTCCATGTGCAAAGTGGCACCTTTCTCCAAAAGTGCACAACCCTTTAGCAAAGTTCTCACAAATTTTTGTTTTAAAGTTGCTTGTTGCAGTGGAGCTGGGATTCTTCATCATGGGTGCCGCAGATTTTGCTGTAACGCTCTGAATAAGCTCACGAACCATTTGACTGGCTTGTCCAATCTGATCAATTGTACCTTCAAGTTCTATATTCCTCAAGTTAGGATCCGACTCATGATCCCTAATGGAAAATTTGGCTCCAGTCACACGGCTTATTTGCTTTGAGTTGACACCGCCTTTTCCAATAATAGGTCCGGCAAGAGAGGCATCTACACTGATCTTAGCAGTCGCAGAGGACCCAAAGCTGGCAGCTGCTCCAAGACCTGCAGGAGTTGTCTCTGGTCGACTACCATACCTTCCATGCGTCTGGAACCTACCATGGGACTCCTCATGCAATGGAGCCATTGGCTTGCCGAGCTCCCACTCACCATGGGCAAAATTACATTTGTCACCAAATTTGCAACCTTCAGCGGTGTTGAATTTGTTGCAGAGACGAGTCTTAACAGCTGGAGGAGATGATCCATCAGGGAAAGACGGTGCTATTGAATTTCTAGAAGCTGCTGGAAGAGCTGGGTTGCTGCCAAGCATTTGAGTTACAGCTTTAAGGCCTCCAGGTACATAATGCAAGAAGTGGCATCCTTCCCCAAATGGGCATCCCGAAGTACTGCAGAAGATCAAATTAATACATTAATTCAATTATACAACAACAACCCAGTAAAATCCCACTAATGGGGTCTGGGGAGGGTAGTGTGTACGCAAACCTTACCCCTACCCCGAAGGAGTAGAGAAGCTGTTTCCGAAAGACCCTCGGCTCAAAAAACAAAAAAAGGACAAAAGGGCAAAAAGGGAGACAATAAAGTTGGAAAAAACAAAGTTGCCATCATGAACCATTAGAGTCAAGCTTATCAGCAAGAAGATCAATAACAGCGAGAGCCAAGTCATACAGCATCTCCCAGTTTATTCACATATCTTAAATAGGGCTCGATTTATTAATTTCTTGATTAAGGCGTTTGTCAAGCAAAAACACTCTACAAAACCTCTTTGCTATCATAAAGGAACATGATATCCAACAACTAAAATCTCTAAAATTCAAACTCCGATACATTAAGAAACACAAAGAACAACACATTGCCGGACTCGTCTACGATGTTAACGGCACATTATTACTCATATTACGAGTCCCTAGAACTCTTTTGCATGTCAATTTTTGAAATTGTCCAATGCTTGCTTATCAACAGGAAAGAATGTTGATAGGAATCAAAAACAGGGTAATTTCACATGAACCAAAAAGTGATCAAGCAGGTCTTTTTACTAGGCAAGCAAAGTAACATACACACATATTTCTTGAAATCCACACATTGCATATTCACTTATGCACAAGATTTTGACAAGAATTACAAAATACTAAAATTAACTGAGCACAAATCTTCTAGCAATTTGCCCAGCAATATCTCCAAAAAGATGATATCTCAAAATATCACTAATCACTTTCTCATGACATCATTTAAGGACCGGTCAAACTTTAGCCTATTAAAACTATTTTACAGCTTGGGGCATCAGGGAGGCAGTGGAAGGTCGGAACAGTTGGAAAGTTGACATAGCCATCAAGAAAATCTCGAAGATGATCCCAACAAGCATTTTTTGGTGGCTTTGGCAAGAAAGAAATCGCATATGGTTTGATGGCATTTCAGCTCCAAATGCCCTGGGCACCTATTTAGTTGGAGCTCTCTATCCCCTGTAAATAATGTAGTTCCCCTCCTAGACTTCATTGGCTCGCATACTCTAGCTTAGCCCAGTTATGTGGTTAGCTCCCCGAGCAGATAAAGTTTTTGATCGTAATGGAGCTAACTAATCTTTTTTGTAGCTTTGCATCTTCATGATGGCTGCAATGAAGAATCTTATTTCATCACTCTTATTTTACAGCTTATAGGATGAAGAAGGGACAATTCTCATTTCTAAATGCTCGAAAAACTAGGCTAAACCTAATATAAATTACCATAACTGATGGTAAGCTAGAAACCCGTGTTTTAGTCATAGTTTGCACTCTAATTACTGCATTTTACTTGTGGTTGAGCTTAAATAATGGTGATTTGCGCTTATTATGTGTTTTATGCCTTGAAGGAAATAATTCCGAGCTATTAAGATAATTTGAAGCAATATTGAACAAGTTGGAGCTTTGAAGTCCGAGTAAAAGCCCAAGAAATTAAGCTATGATCACGTTCGGGGGTCGAGGACCAAGTCTGAATGTCAAAAAATGAGAAAAAAGATAACTCTAAGAAAAATGCACTACATGCAGAGTGTAAAAATCAGCCCTCTAAAGTTCTCCACTTGCGCGCGCATTGGGCATCGCGCCCTGCGTCGCGCATGTGTATTTTTGTCCGAGTACTTTCTCGTTTCAGCTTGGAAAGGGTAGTTCCGTTCGGACCCATTCCTACATGGTATGAATACATCAAAAATACAATTTTGAGAGGACTTTTGACCTACGGGAGATTGAAAGAGTATTGGAGACTCAAAGCGCAAGGATTCATCATTCTTTCCTCAACTCAACACCCGAGTTTGGATTGAATTCATGTTTTCTTATTCTTCAACTTTATTTGTGATGAATTTCTCCATGATTATGGAGTAGTTTACCTTAGGATTTGATGGATATGGTGTTTTGATTGATATTTGTGGATTTTAACTCTAGTTCTTTGCATGAATTCGTTTATGGAGCTTTGAATTGATTGCAACTTTGTTCACCAGTTTATTTAATCGAAAGAGGAATATTTTGGTGATAATCTTTGCATTATTTTGTTTGGTTTAATTGAGTGATTCTTTTAAGTAATCCAAAGAGCTTGTTGAATTGTTGATTAAATCAAGTTAGGAGAATATTCGAGAGACGTTTTCCTAAAGACTAATCCATTAACGCGTGCTTGCATATTTTCAGAGTGCTTTATATTAGTTCACCTCATAGAGTTAAGATTTAATCAAGAGAGGGGTCTTGGCTACACGTTTGAATTAATCATTAAGTGAATTTGTAAGAACATTAGAGTGAATTAAAGTAGAGTTAGATCCCGAACAGCCATCTTGCACCTATCCTGTCACGGCCCTTATTTCTCCCATTGATTACTTCGGTGTTGCTCAACTCTTGTCTTTATGCAATAAAATGCTAATTGCTTCAGTTTTCGTAGTTAATTTTAGTTATTAATCATCCCAAGTCCCAACCACAGTGTTAATCATCCTGAATAGCGTTAAGCTAGAAATTACTTGAACACTAGTTAAATACAATCCTTCCCTGTGGAGACGATAATTAAACATTACTATATTTGGCTAGCGAGCATCAATTTCGTGTTGTGTTTTGCGCTCGTCAATAACCCAAACAAAAAAAGTGGGGACAAAGAGTTTTTGTTTCCTTTGGAAACTTCTCTCAAATGGATAAGGACTTTTTCTTTTCATAAACGTTAAAACAGACTTAAAAAAAAAAATTGATAAGGTAAAGAATTATATTAATGTCTAGTCCTCGACGAAACCCCGTATACAAAAAGTATACCAAAAAGTAGAGAAACCTACACCAAATATGGTTCTCTACAAACGTCACTAACTCGTCTATTCGAACAAGGACCTCATGGGTACACCAAAAAGAAACTAGAGACGAGGCTACCCCTCACAAGTACAAAATCACTCTCGAACCCTTCAAGCGTTGTCCTATATAGTGTTATCAAAGGCGAAAAGCGCAAAAAAGCTCTAATGCCTGTTGGGGCTTTAAGCGCAAAGCGCAAATAAAGCGTGGGCTTTAATGGAAAATGGCAAAATGGAGAAAAAGTAAAAATATGTATATGTAGTGCAAGACAAATAATTATAAACATAAATAACAAATATATGGACCAAAAAAAACGATAAAGTGAAATATCAATTGCCTTTTCATGATTACACTCATTGGCAAGAAAACGTATGCCTTAGAGCCTTGATGCGACACTGAAGCACCCGCAAAGCGAGGCGAAGCGCTCAACATGCTTTGAGCCTCGCTTTAGGGCTTAAGCGCGCCTTTGATGACACTGTTGAAATTGGCAAAAGTACCACATCGGTGGATGACAATTTTGAATGAGAATTTCACCCTA